TACTTTTGATCCAAGTAAATAAATTATCATTAAAAATCAACCAGATTCCTTTAGTGTAAAAGAAAGAACACAAACTCTCATTTTTGCACATTTGCAAAACTTTTACATGTTTAATCATTCGGACAGTTCCTGTTGGTGCAGAAATGCTTTGAACTTCATGATTTAAACTTCTGTGTAGTAACGCTGCCATCAGCACATCAGGAACAGCTGTGCAATATAACATAACCTGGACATACACTTTCCTTCAACCTTTCGATAGACTGCCTTTAACTTTGATGAAGGGAAACATTTGATGAGGCATAAATTTCAGTAATTATATGTAAAGTATTGATAACTGGAGAATCAAACAGCTGCAGTCTTCTCCAGAACATCCCAAAGATTATCATTTAAGAATAAAGGTGTGGACTCTGTGCTCTCTCTCTGCAACATTTTAAACTAAAGGTTGGTGCTTAATTATGGATGTTGATTGAACTATTGCTGTGTAACTTTTTTTTCCCTAAATGATTTCACATTAATAAAAGTTAATAAAAGAAAATAAGGAAGTTCATTCTTCCTGACTCAATCCAGAAAAGGAGAAGTAGACTGGAAATCATGGCCTGCAGTGTGTTTATAAATGGATTTACAGTCAGGGCTTCGGATTTTTTAACTGTTCCCAGTATTAGATGTAAATGTGCTGAAGGTGCATTCAGTGACCGTGGTCACATTCTTGTGAACAAGCTGCATGCTGACCTGAAATCAAATCTGTGCAAACATTCAGAAACAGACTCCAAAAATCTGCTACATTAATAAAACTGACACTGCTGTGAAAGATGTGAAGTGCTGCAGTTTGATTACTAAAATCATTTATTTTATATTTCTGTCCACCAGAAACCTCTTTGTTGAGAAATTGTTTTCATGCGAACATAAAATTTTTTTATATGATATAATTACAGTGTGCAGGTTTAGGTTTGAGTTTAAAATGTAAATTTAGTCTGAAGTTTATTTTTTAAAATTCACTGAAACCAAAGACTCCGTATTAAAATGTTTTGTGGTTTCTGTTATTATGGTGTGATCTAATAAATAAATAATTTAATTAATTAATTTATAATAATTATTAATTTATTATTATTTATTAAGATCTGTACATTTTATAAAATGAGTTAATGTCAGTGCTTTAGTTTTCATCAAGAAAGTTTATACATTTCTGCAGCTTCATAGCACTTCATCTGAGTCCTCAGTAGGAAACTTGACTGGATGTTGCTTCTTATGATGACAAGTTTGTTGGTGTATCACAAAACCAACGGCAAAAAGAGCAACAAGAGCAACTACAACAACAACAGGAACAACAACCTGAAGAGTCGGAACTCTGACCCTTTCAGTATCATCCATGCTTTCATCTGCGTCTCCTCTTTCCATGATTCGTTTCTCTGACACGCTTTCATGTGTTTCACCTGCAGAAAAAATAGGCAATAAGAAACTGATAGGCACCAAAGCAGCAGTTCACCTGGAAGTTTGTGTGTCTGCAAATGTCGCTATAGAGAGAACGGCTTCAGTTCCTCATCAGAAAAAAAACCCGAACAAACATGTGGGAGCAGTAAAAAGAAATATTCAAATATTTAACAACTGGCTGCTTCCCAACGACAGAAACATGATTAACACCTGTGTGAGCAGCACACTGTGCAGAGGGAGCTAGGGGAGTTACAAACTCACCAAGACAAGAGGAGAGAATTCTAACTGGATCATAAAGCTGAAGTTTTTAGTTTACATTTGATGATATCAGACCTTTAACACCTGAGTGTGAGCTCCACAAGCTCACCTGTGACTGTGAGGTTGATGAAGTGACTGATCTCAGTGTGAACTCTTTTACTTCTCACAGGGTTCCTCACAGCTACGTGACACTCATACATCCCAGTGTCATTAAACGCGACGTTCTTCAGAATCAGAGACACGTCTCCATCCTTCATCTCCGGGTCCCTCAGCTTCACTCGGCCATGAAAAGATGGATGTTGGTAGTTTTCATAGGAGCGTTTGTTCCTGTAGAAGTAGACGTAGCCGTCTGTGTTCAGGTCAGCTCTGCTCCACTTCAGCACTGAGATTATTTCATCTGTGGAAATCTGACACTGAAGAGTGACGTCATCTCCAAGCTTCACCTGAACATCCTGCTGAAGAGCTGAAGACATCACAATTATAAATTATTATTTCTTGGTTCGGGTTTAGAGTTAACCAGTTAAATGGATCACATGGGACTAAGCAAGGAATTAAAACATGAATAAAAATGTTCATTTTGCTCACCTGTTAACTTTGAGATTAGAGACAAAAAGAGGAAGAATTTGAAAGAAGCCATTTGGGACGGGAGGATGGAGACCACCGAGCAGCTGCAGAGCTGATTGTACTTACATGAAACAAGTTTCCTGTACAGAGTTAAAGAAATGAGTGTGGCTGAAATGAGAAGTTCCAGAAAGGGAAGGCTGGCATAGCGATGTCATCGTGCCCTGATTAAAACCATCACACAGAGAGGTTTCTAAATAATCCACAGCACGTTGTTTCGCTCCTCCTCCTGAGTGACTGATTAGAGTGATCAACAAGCTTTTATTTTTTCTCAAATAAAGAACAAAGCTTGAGACTTACTGGAACAAAATGTTGGTTTTCTGAGAATGGATCCTGATCTAAAATATGAACAGTACCCCGAAGCATCAGCAAAAAAAAAAAGTCATTTTCTTAAAGTCCTCAGTAGGAAACTGTAGGTTTATGTGGGTGAGGTGCTGCTCCTTCTGTAGCTGCCAGGTGTGCTGAAAACAAAACTTCTGTTTTAAACCGCCTCAGGTTAAATAACAGAAAGAGAAGGTGCTGACTGACTTCACACAGATATGTGGACACAGAGTTCTCAGTGTCTCTTTACAGGAGGTCATCTTAGTAACTTATGCTGAACCACATTACACGTAGTTTGTGCTGCAGAGAATAATTTGTTTGATTTTATTCTGCTGGCAGTACTTTTTACAGCTCACGGAGCTCAGAACAGCTACATCTGTAGGCTGTTTGTCTCTGAGAGCACCCAGCAGCAAAAAAAGAAGCTAACAAAGTTCAGCTTTATTATTGCACTGTCTTAAAAAAAAGTATTTCAGGGTTAGTGCCCTGTCAGCAATACATTACTGGACTCTGGTGGTCTGTGTTTAACAAGAAACAGGTTGAAAGTCACGTATATAGAAATTTGCTGAAAGGACAAAAAATAAAGAGCTGAGTGACACTAATATACTCTGATTTATTTCAGTGTTTCACAGTTTTTGTAAGTGCACTATCTGCTGAGATTGACTTTGTATTGACATTAAACTCTTTAAAAACAAACAAACAATGATTTTGTGAGTTTCAATAAGTAACTAAAGTTGTGTCTGCAATGTACATCCCTTTCAGACCACAGTGTAGCCATCTGCTCATGGCTGCTTCCAGGAGGATAACACGCCACTTATTTCAAACTGCTTTCCTTAACATGAGTTCACGGCACTCAGACGACGTCCACAGTCACCAGATCTGAATCCAACAGAGCATCTTTGGGATGTTCTGGAAATCTGTAGCAACTTTGGGTATTATATCAATTTGGACCAATGAGAAATGTTTTCAGCATATTTTTGAATCCATGCCATGAAGAAATGAAGCAGTTCTCAAGAAAAAATGAGATTTCAACTTGATACTAGCAAGGAGTTCTTAATAAAGTGGGCAGTGAGTCTATATTGCATTAACTAAATGAAAAATATGACCACATATTGTGGTGGTTAAGCAGGCAGCCGCAAGTTTATGTCTGTTATTGTGAAGTTTGCTCCATATCAGTGGTGCAGACAGCCTGTTGCTGCACTTTAATGTCAGTAGATGGCAGCACCAGAGTACGGTTTAATCACAGGGCAGTTGGATAAGAATGTAATAACTTAAATAAAAATATCAACCTAAACTATGATCTCCTTTCAGGTGACATCACACCTGTTATCCATCAAACTGTGATATTTCTGGTGTAAACATTCCCTGTCAGCACTGACTGCTGACAGAACACCTCCAAATACAAACAATATCCATCAATACACATAAAGTCTCATGAGTTTCCACAGTGGTTTGTAAAAACTCATTGGAGATCTCAATTTCAGAAACACTGAGCATGCCCAGTGTTTTATTTGATGATTTATGAACCATTCTGTAGATGCAGAAGAAGCTCAGTGAAGCTGTTGCTGAGCTTTATTTTATTCAAGATTCAAGACTCTTTGTCACGTGCATGGTTATACAGATATAACACGCAGTGAAATGTGACCTGATACGTTCTTCGACTGTGCACAAACGAGTCAGAACTTTATATACAGAGAATGAGTATATACAAAGAGGACTTTATGTGCAGCAAGTGGCTGAGTTATATAAATAAAGATAAAATAAAACAATCCTGAAATGTACAGCTTGTGTACATTGTGGGGTGTTAAAGTCAATGTGCTGTAGTGAAGCTGGAAGGATCAGGATGATATGAGAATGTGCTAATGGTGCAGAACCTTCTGCCTGATTGTTGCACGAGCTGGAACAGTTTATTGCTGGGATGAGACGGGTCCTTCAATATCTGAGTTGCTCTAGTCCAGCATCTCCCGATGTAAATGTCCTGTAGGGAGGGGAGAGCATTCCTGTAGCATCGTTCTGCTGTACAGATCACTCTCTGAAGAGCTTTTTGGTCCTTAACACAGCTGTTTCCATACCAGGACGTGATGTTCTGTGTGAGGATGCTCTCCACAGCGCCTGTATAGAAATCCTGAGGATCTTGGAGACCTCTGAACTTCCTCAGTTGTCGAGGTGATACAGGCGCTGCCTAGCCTTTTTGGTCTGGTACCTTGAATGTGGGCAGCCCATGTCAGGTCTGAGGAGATGTGGACACCAAGATACTTGAAGGACTGCACCCTCTCCACTGGAGCTCCATTGATGATAATGGGCTTGTAGTCTCTGTGCTGACCCCTTCTGAAGTCCACCACCAGCTCCTTGGTCTTGCTGACGTTCAGCTGGAGGTGGTTGTCCTGGCACCACGATGCCAGATTCTTCACTTCATCCATGTAGGCCGCCTCATCGTTGTTGGAGATGGCACCCAACACCACTGTGTCGTCAGCAAACTTCACAATGGTGTTGGAGCCATGGGTGGCCACACAGTCTGAAGTGTAGAGGGAGTAGAGCAGTGGCGAGAGGACACATCCCTGAGGTGCTCCTGTGTTGAACAAACAGAATATGAACCAGTGTGTTTACAGTGAATGTGTCAGGTCTGAGCTGCTGTGTGGACCAGTTAGAGAGCAGCAGCTGGATCCCAGTGGTTGGACTGGTGGACGACTTCAGTGAGGAGTCGATGACATTTGGCTCTGGTAGAAACTCTGCACACACAAACACACAGGAGGAGAATATAAGCACAAAGCAGAGCCTCTCTGTTCTTTATATACAGCAAAGTGAAAGAACGAGGACAGTGAACGCGTCACAGTTACAATAATATAACTTATTGAACTTTGACACATTTTGTGCAGGTGTGTCAGATACAGTTACAATATAACAGCATCTTTTGTTCAATAAACATTTAGACAGTAGGGGGCGGTTGTCTTTTTGACGGATTACATTTACACAGGAAGGCATTTATTAATGTGTGTTACTGGAAAAGTTTTTGACTTTGTCATCTAGGATAATCAATATTAACCATGTTAAATTAGTCTTGATAACTAATGTAGAAACAGGTATGAGGGCAAAATGTTATGTCTGTTTAAACAAGAAGTAAAAGTGGCAAAAAGCACCCAGCAGCAGCGGCTTACTGAAAGGTTGTGATTACAGTGATTACAAGCTTTTTAGTTCAATCAACCTTTCCTATCTCCACGTCTCTGGTTCACACATGCTCCCAGTTAAAGGTTTACCAGTGTGAAGTAAGTTTTTATCTAGTAAAGAGCTGTGATGGACTTTTGTTAGCTTAGGTTAGCTTGATGGCTGGAAACAGGGTGAGCAGCTAGCTTGACTCTGTCCACAGTCAAAGATAAAGAGCAGCTGTACCTGGGCCTCCTTGTTCTGATGGTTGTTTGTCCATAACTGACATCTTCAGTTTTCACTGCTGAGTAGATCACAGCTGAATCACACTCTGAGAATAAAACACATTAAATTACTGCAGGTACATAAACTGCACTTGTTTAATTCAGTACAATTCACAATGAAATTATTATCTGTCATGATGCACTATGAAGAGATCAAGTGATAATCTTTATTGTAACTGTAGCAGTGTTTCAGTGTTCTTAACACCTCGACTGTGAAACAGCTTTGACAATAGAGAAGTGTTTCTGTGGAAAAGAAAAGTGGACGACCACAAAGCTGCCACCTGCTTTCAGTGCAGACTGACTTTCTTTACCACAGAGCACAAAGTAAACACCTTCCCACGGCATAAACACATGATTGGCCAAACCAGTCCAGACTGTGGTGAGAGGTGTCACCAGCTTCAGACTACAGTTAAACTAGAATCATGTGGTCAACATGTCATCATGTCACAGAAACTAACAAATTATTAACTTTCTAGAAGTCATAAATGAAGTATAGATACTGAGATAGACTCGTTTAAAAATGTTGAAGTCACATAAGTATAAGGAAAGTCAAAGGATAAATATAGAGGAAAACGGTGAATGATACTGGAACAGAGTTCTGAATATCATTAAGATTCACTTTAAATGAGATGATGGTCTGTGAGCAGAGTTTAGAGAAATGCTTTTCCAGATGATGTCTCCATGTTCCTTCCTGTTTTTTAAAAAAAATGAACAGCTCTGTGTTGAAACACCTGCAGCTGAAGTGTTTTCTTTCTTTCACGAACAGGATGCTGGACGACTGCAGAGCTGTTAGCTTCAACCACAGACCACAAACACACAGTCCAGCTCACAGTGAACAACACTCAGTAAGCACAGAAGGAAAGACACATGAGTTTGCACATTTTAGTTAAGACAAATTAATTAATAATAAAAGTATGAACTGAAATATGTGATTTCAGGTTTTAATTAAATCAAATCACGACTTTGTTTTTTGACTGTAACACTAATCTACATTTTTACACTTCTGATCACATGCTCCATAATGTCCTCATAACCCATCATATCATCAATGATGATCTAAATATGATTCTACATTCATACTAAAGTCAGTCTAGTCATGGTCCAGGTGAGGGCTGGGTTTTTTCACAGTGCTGGCATTCCTCCACTGGGCGGACCATCAATGGTCCAATCAATGCCCCGTCCCCACTGGGCACTGACAGGCTGCACCTGAGTATAATCTGAACTGCCGGCTTCTTAAGACCAGCGCTCACAATCAAACTTCGTCAGATCATCTGCAACCCTTTGTCAGTCTAGGCCGCCACAGTTATTACTTCTTGTCATAGTTTTTTGTGTATTTGACCTTTGTGCTTCTGCTCGCTGGAGACCTCTGGTTGTTGCTGAGTCGCTGCCATAACCTGCCTGGGTTCAATTGCTGGTCAGCTCAGTTTCCCACTCATGCTCACCTGCCTGCCTCCCTGTACACCTTGGACTGGCATCTGTAACTTCCAACTAACACCTGTTCCCGCCTCATTTTCAGTGACTCACACC